TGCCTTTTTGTGCTTGCTATGAGATGCTGATTGAAGGCATCCATAAGAGCCTGAACTACTAGAAGGGGAAATTGGATGCATTTGTGTTTTGTTCCTCACCATTTCTGTAGCAGAAAAATATGCAATGAAATACCTTTACACTAAAAAATTCCAATAGAAGTCATTAAAATAGGAAGAACTTACAGATCTTTGATTAAAATAACATAAATTTCCAAAACACTATTTTTAATGCTGCCAGTGGTTTTTGGAGGTATTTTTGACTTGGTTAAATCAAACTAACTTTTAAGAAAAGCTGTGAATTTTGGTGGTGGTGAGAATAGTTAGGATTAAGAACTGAGATTCTCTGGCTTCCAACTCTGATGCTGACTAATTGTTAGACCTTGGTTGGACAAGTAGCTCGCACTCTGGCTCATTTTATCTATTTATTGTATGTTGTATTGTGTTCATTTAGGAATATGTTTTGAGATTAGTTGAGGGAGCTATGCATTCTGGGACAATTCTGGCTTTGCTTATCCTGTGTTTTCCCTTTTAAGGGGAAGACTGAAGTCAAAATAACCCTGAATTTGTCCTGGAAAGACTCCTTTCTTTGGCTGCTCTAGGTCCTAATAGATTGTTCCTTCGATTTTACTCTCATAGGCAGGACTTTCTTACTGCTGTAATGTTGCCGTTGCATGGCTTCTGTGTATGAATAGCGAAAGTTCACGGAATAACTAAACAAACTTGTGGCTTGTAAAAATGATGGTGAGAACTTCTGGAGTTAGAATAGCTTGTCACAAGACTGGACTCATTCAGAGATACTAGTGTACAAAAATGTGGCGCATACAGTGCTGATATATATTCTACTAGTTCTTTTGCCTAATACAGAGCTACATAATGCAAATAATATTTACTGAGAAAATAATGCGTAATGGCCTGCATTCATTACTGGTAAATGGTAATTGAAGTTAATGAAGTTATATCAAAGACAAATTTGGGCAAATGTCTCTATCTTTTTCAGCTGCTGTTTCCAAGTCCTTTTAATTGTTTTCATAGTGGACATCTGTTCAGCTGGCTTTCATTAAGCATTTTAAATCTTTCTTGTTATGTTGTTCATAGCTGTTGATGCAAGGCAAACCCTTTATGAACTCTGAAGTATGGTGAAATGTATCAGTGAGAATGAAATAATCTATTTTTAGAAGTCATCAAGTAAATGTGTGAAAATGACTAACTTGCAATTTAAAAGAAACTGAAATTTAACCTTTTTTACAAGCATGTAAAAAAGATGTTCTAGGCCTTAGGAAGTTGACAGTATCTTTAAATGTGCATGGCTTGTCTTGGAAGATGGCAAATTTCCTTTTGTTAGTATGTGTGTTTGTATATCTATGACATCTGGTCAAATATGTATTGTATCTCACAGATTCTTGTTGGATTTAGGACAGACTCGTTTACAGACCACAAGTTTTCAAAAGGAAAAAGTGTGTGTATGTGTTTTTCTTTTTGAAAACTTGTGGTCTGTAAACCAGTCTGTCCTGAATCCAACAGGAATCTGGCTTCACTGGGCTTTGGATAAGGCCCTTTAGATGGAAATGAATGTGAAAATACAAATTTGTATCTTCACATTCATATTTTTTTTGGTATTTATTTCTGTCTAAGGGGTACACGCATTACTCTCAGAGATCCTTTCTCAGTCAAAGTTTCTATTGATTTTACTGAGTATTTTTTTGTTTGTTATGTTGGGTTTTTTGTGCCAGAGTTAAGGACCATATAGTCTGGCCCCCATAACTTATTCAGGTGTTGCCTGTATACGATGAAGTCAAACTGAACCAGTATAAGGAATTCAGTTAACATTAGGTGAATTTTTACTTGCTTTTCTTTATCAGCATCCTTTAGAAACCTCCTTCCAGGTAACCACAGCATGATCTCTAAGATGCATCCCCACCCTGCCTTTTGCCTGACTTCAGAGTAACATGGCTAACAGCCTCTGCCTGCTTATGATTTTCTGATGAGGCTTAATTATGGTAGTGTTGTTTCTACCTCCATTCTGTGATGTTCTAAACTGCCTTGAAAGGTTTTATTTATATATAGATATATAGATATATAACAAGCAAACAAAAAGCACCATTGTCCTTGTCGCACCTGTGTGCAAACTACCCACGTAAGCAAATGGCAGGGAACTAGAAGTCATTACATTGATATTGCCTATCATTATTTTTGTCTTGGTCACTTCAACCCTCAACAATTTACTAAACATCTGGTATATTAAGAACCACAGTGGGACTAATTAACAAGCAGTATTGTTTTTACCTTAGACTTTGCCAATGTCTCTTGGGTGTCTAAATGAAATATAATTATTTTGATATTTTCTTAAGTGTCTTGTGAGATGCTACATAATTACCTCTTCTGAAACTCAAGTGACCTGAAAATTATGCATGTTAGGAAATTAGTGGTTGCTGCTCATATTTATAATATTGATGATATTTATAATAGCTATATTTGGAGATTAGAGATCCAGATGAAGAGACTCAAATGAAGCAGTTTTGTGAGACTAAGATGAATGTTGTTTTCCTATTCTGTACAATTACATTTGATAATATATAGCCCTTCTTATTGTTTTGTCTAAAAACTAATTCTATGAAGTACCTAAGCAGTCTACAAATAAGACGTCAACCTTAGCCCAGTCTGAAAAAGTAGTCAGTTAAGTTTTAAATTGTTCAGGCTAAATCAGTAGCAGCTGATGTTTAAGTGTGTGGAAAACTTTTTAAAAAGTTGTTATAAGGTATTAAACAACTTCATTTGCATAAGACTTGGGGTCACTCCTGTTGTGCTGCAGCCAGAGGCTGCTGGGAGCAGCTGCACAGAATGTTGGACTTGATGGCAGTGACCAGGTCCCTGCACTTGGCTCCCCCAACCTCCCTGACTCCTAGGTTTCCCTGCCAGCCAGAGGACTCTAGCTACATGGAGCAGCTGCACAGAGTGCTGGGCTAGGCCAGGGATGGTGGCGGCAGCAGACAGTCCCCCTGTCTAATGCTTGATGCAGGCCAGCCAGGGACCCCCAGAGGCAGGGAGCAGGTGCTGGAAGAGGGAACAGCTCATAGCCATCTTTTGGCCAGGCCTGGCACCCTGTACAGTTGCTCATCAAAGCCTCAGCTGGTACAAGACATGAGCTGCCCTGAGGTTTCCATTGCCTCTGGGTCAGCAGGTATACGTCCTGTTCCCCTCCCCTCCCTTCCCCCCCCCCCCCCCCTTCTATACCCATAAGGCAACCTTGGGCAAGCCCTGCTGGAGGAAGGGAGGGGATTTGCTGCTGAGCACTGGAGGGGTGAGGGTTCTTGGTGGGGATAGAGGCTGCAGCAAGTCCTACTATGCTGGTCATATCTCTTACCCTGCCCTCTGCTCCCTTTTTTGTTGTTGTTGTTGAAATCCTAGATCTGCCTCTGAACATGTATAATATGGGAATTACTATTCTTTTTCTCTTAGCTCTGTTCTTTTTTTGCTGCTGTTATAAGTTCTTAGAAATGTTTTTCTTTTGCAGAAGGCATTCTGTTTGAAATGGCAAATAAGGAATTCTAATCTTCCATACCAACTGCAAATATAATGGGAAAAAATACATTCCTAATTTGTTAGCTGCCTAGTGATACTTTGCTTTCCATGTTATTGGAAAACTGGTTGTATCTGCTTATAGACAAAAGGGCTTTGTACTTTTTTTTATATTTACAGGATTCTGTACTGAAAAGAGAATAAACTGCACAGTGGGTGTGTCTACATGAGATGCTTTACTGTGCAGTAGAATAATCTGCTTCACAGTAAAGCATCACCATCTACATGTGCTCACATTTACTGTGCAGTAAATTAGTCTACTGTGCAGTAAATACATGTATTAAACTAACTGCACAGTAGATGCTGCACAGTTTGTGCACGTGTAGATGCTGACCAGAAACAAATTTGCTTCTGGTCAGCCCCAACACTAGGGGGCCACAAGGGACCAAGAACTTCCTGAGTCCTGGTACTACTTATTTCCTGGCTTCCGCCAGGAGCTGGGAGTTGAGTAGTGCCGAGACGGGGTCCTTGTGTAGCCCAGAGGTAGCTAGGAGCTGCCCCAGAAGTGGGAGATTCCCTAGCCAGCCCCAAGCTGCTTGGAGAAATCCCCACATAGCCCAGAGCTGTCTACTACTGGGGCAGCTCTGAGCCAGCCCCTGGTTGTGTGGGGAAGCCCCACTGAGCCCACTGGGAGCCCACTGAGCCTGCTGGGAGCCAGGAGAGCTCTGCAATGGCAGCTGTGTCTTGGTCCCCTGCACATCAGGACCCTACCCAATGTGCACGGGGCCAGGAGACAACTGCTGCTGCAGCTAGCAGAGCTGTCCTCGCCCCACATGCATGGAAATCAGCCTCTATGGTCCCTGCCAGCCCCTGGACTAGCTGCAGGGGCCAGAGTATAGGGATGGTGCAGTTCTGTACTGACCTATTCCCGATGGGAGCTGATTTACTCTCAACAGGGAGCACGTGTAGACAAATTAGGATTCCCCAAGAGGGCACAGAACTGGCAATGCCAGCTCCTAACAGCAAATCTCTGTGGGCCATAGCCATAGTTGTCCTGCATAAAGTGGAGCAGCAGCTGAACTGTTGTAATGTCTGGTTAGCCTGGGACCAGCATGGAGAGAGCACAAAGAGCTTGGAGCCTTTACAGAATCCTGGCTGCAGCTGAGAAGCTGGGACCTTTTAGGTGGTTTCCAAAACACAGGGCAGGTATTCTACATACTGCTTGGTTTTATTTCATTTTTTTCCTTCCTCACTAGCAGTAAACATAATTTCTTAGTGAAAATTCTAAGTGCAACAGTCCTTTACCCTAGGTATACTGGTAACAACTTTCCTTTTTAATAATACAAATTATTGTTAAAGTATCTCTCACCCTTACCTCGAAAGAGATGAAGACCCAATGCTGAATGAAAGGACTACTTAAACTTTCAAATCAATTCATGATTTAAATTAAATTAAATTCCTCTTTTCTCTCTCCCCACTCTCAGCTGGAAAGACAGATACTGATGCAGAGTCAAATGAGGGAGAGGCAAATGGCTATGCAGATTGCTTGGACACGGGAATTCCTCAAGTACTTTGGGCTATTTTTTGGACTAGCTGCTGTTGGTTTAACCACTGGGTAAGTTCATTATCTATCAGAAAATTCCATGTGAATTATTTTGTAGTGGTGTTTCCACAATACTGAATCCTTTCTCTTGATTGTTTATACGTAGTTGCTTTGTGAAGGGCTTATTTCTGTTTGGAGGTTAATTAAGTGCTATCTTTATTTCTAGCTTTTCCTGGGTGTCTTTGGCTAGGCTATGACACCACTGCAGACTGTCATAGTACCAAGGTAGCTAAGGTAGCATGAATACTGAAGGCAGTCTAGCTGTACAGCACAGACATCTGCGTACTTCCCAGCAGGGTATGTCAGCCCATGCAGATTTCAGTGCTGCCACAGCTAAACTACTTCCAGGACCTGCACTAGCTCATTTACAGTCAGCTAGAATAGATGACTGGCAGTGAAGACGTTTGAGTCATGTTTGATGACTTCTAATAGTCAAAATAAGTCTTATTATTGTTAGAACTGTAGAACAAAAACTGCTACATATCTCCATAGTAGAGCTGGATTCTTATAATAATTTCAGCATTTGGATAGAACAAAGAATTGAATAGCCTGTTAGTGTAACCCTCACTGTTCTGCTTTGAAATGGGTGGTAGTAGTAGTATTTATCCCTGTTTTATTGGAAGAGATGGAGCCACAGGAGAAGTGACTTGCACAGCACTATGCAGTGAATTATTTCCAGAGCTAGGATTAGAATTAAGAACTCCTACCTAACAACATTTGAACCCTGTTACCCTAGACCAGTCTCTCTCCTGACTCGATTCTACCTAATCTCAGTATCAAAATTGTCATTGAAAGACTGAGGGTGGATCTAGACATTATTCAGTTGCAGCATAGCTTTTATTATTCCAGTTGTAGCAGCATGATGAAGACGTTGCACCAGCCTGCATAGGGCAGGCTGTTTGAAGGAGGAAAAAAGGCATAACAGCTTGTGCTGCTGCTGCTGACCAGTTGGGGAGCTCCCTCTGGTCAGCAGCACCACTGAAGGAACTAGATGCCTCTACTAAGAAGCCATCCCCCAGTACCCCTGAGGTCTCCCCAGCAGCAGCAAGATGGTGGGCAGAAGTGGGGATATCCCGCCACACACTTTCCCCCTCTCCCTTCCCGCCATGTGTGCAAGGAGCAGGGAATACCCCAGGTCTCCTGGGCAGCAGCAAGCGTGGGGGTGGAGGGAAGGAGGAATAGGGCCTAACTAACATACCTGCTGGGCCAGTTAGCAACACTTTCAGCTGCTCGGAAGCCTGAAAGGCCTTAAAGTGAATGTACTTTTTGAAAATAAATATGCTTCAAATTGTATATGAAATGTAATTCATTCCATCTGTAACCCAGCTAAATGGCTCTTTTGTAAGAGCATTAGCAGTCTACAAAACTTCTAAAAGAAGATTTTTTTCATTCTTATCTATGAACAGAGCAATGAAAAAGAAGAAGCCAGGACTTTTACTTCCAGTAGTTCCTTTAAGCTTTATACTTGCCTACCAGTATGATATGGGATATGGGACTCTTCTGCAAAGAATGAAAGGTATGTGTGTGGAAATGTGAGACGTAACAAAGCCTTGTACCCTTCAGACTATCTTTGTTCAAGACTGCATTGACCATGCCAGGCCCTTTTTTGAACAGTCTGGGAATATGACTCCTTTTGCCTTCATGGGCAGTTGCCTTTTGCTCATTTCTTTACTCCCATTTCTGTCTCCCTCAAAGTAAGAAATTAGTTTCCTTCTCTTCCATTTTTCTCAGCTGTGAGTATTTGATACTAACAGCTCTCTCTTCCAATTCAGGCTGCCTCAAGTAAAAATTAAAGATCTTGGGGAGAGGGAATCAAAATAAAATAAGAGTATTTATTGACTACTTTTCTTAAAGTAGACACAGGTTGACTGAGTTGTATCCTTCTTTGGTTTTAAAATTCCAAAACCAATATCAATCTATGCATGTGTGAGATGGGCTGCTACTCTTTTTCCAATTAATTATCCTGACTCCTGTGTTTCTTACAAAAAATACCTGGTGATAACGCAATCAAAAGTTGAAAGAGATGTGCACAGCTAGCATTAACATGGCATATGCTTGGCCTTGGTTTTTTTTTTATTTGTTTGTTTTTACACTAAAAGGAAAGTTATTAATGAGCTATTCAGACCTAGACTCCAGAATGATTTTTTTTTAGGATAAGCAGTCTTTAAACCTGTTAAATGATCAGTTCAGATAACTATCTGGCTAAGGACTAATCTGAAGGAAATAGATTCAGCTAATTTTTCAAATGCAAAACACTCAGTTATAAGTTGCATTGTACATAGTTTATGCGCAATCAAATATGTCAAAAAGAACATGATTATTGTTGAGTCCAGAACTCGAGTCTGAAGAAATGCAGCCTTAATTCTTCCGCTTTGTATGTCTGGTATTCTGATAGCATTTCATTATATGATCACATGCTATTTTTTCCCCCATAGGCCCCCTCCCTACCTTCCTCAGTTCAAGTGTGGGCAGTGTTGAGTTACGAGCAGCTATTTGCTCTTTTGTTTTCTGTTTATTGTCTTATGTGTGACCTCATGTTAGTTAGTTTGTTTATTGCACGTTCTTGAAACCCTGTCATTTAACATGGAATTACTACGTATCTACAGGCTTTTATAGAGCACTGGCCCCAAGCCCACAGCAGGCAACCTGCCTCCGCCCTGTGCACAAAGCCGGGGGGGAGGGGCATATGACCACCCCCCCATGGCCCCTGGCTGGGTAGCTCCTGCCCCTACCCCACTCCCTCCCTCCCTGTGGGGGCCTCAATCTGTTCCCCTCCACACCCCTTCCCTCCCCCACAGGCTTACTTGCAGGGTGATGCTAGCCACACTGCCTGGCTGCATGCCTGTAAATCAGCTATCGGATTGGTATATATGGCAGGTTAATAATCAGCTATCAGTATTGGCCAAGAAAATCTTTATTAGTGCACCCCTAATTTGGACCACAACTAGAGTAAATGAAAATGTGAATGAGGCAGAAAGTCTATGAAGAAAATAGTATGCGATCAAGTAATTAAATAATGTAACATTGCATAAACTCATGGGGGAATAGATTATCGTTCTACAGTCATTTCTTAATGTTTTCACTTATTGACTTTTAAGTCATAATAATTTTTTTTTATAATGTATCTAATGTCCTGGGTTTTCAAAAAAACAAACTGGGAAAAATAATAATCATAGGCATCATACTGATATCTGGATAGTTCCTTAGTGGTACTGGAAGACACCACTAGAGCCAAGAGAGGACCTACACTAAAAAGAGGGCCTACACTAAAAAGAAATTAGACAGTTTGCCAGTGCACTGCACAGATATTTGCTGACAACAGGGGAATGGTAAAACATAGGAATCTTGGTATCCATTCAAGGGTTTGTGAATAAGTGGGCATAGGCTCTTCTGCCTATTCCATTGCTAAGCTTTACCCTTTCTGTACTCCCTTCCTATCTAATCTCTGTTCAGATACCTGACCATTATTTTTGCCCAGTCAATCCTAGCCTTCACTTGGTTTTCTCATTCCAGACTCCTTGGCCAGCAAATCCTATTCTTACCTCTCTTGGTATCCCTTTCTTACCCCACCCCCAACTCTTTGCCATGCCATCAGTACTTTCTAAGTTTTTGGCTCTTTGTCCCTGGTTGAATTTCTTGTTTGGAAAATTTCAACTGAAATTTTAGGAGGAAGACACGTGGTGTATCATTTGGCCCATCAGATTGGTTTGGCAGAGTTAGAAGTAGCTGAAAATAGGGTCTTAAAATGGAAAGTAATGTTTCAGTAACTAATGGCAAATGCCCATGCATTGTCTATGATAGCAGTAGAGAACACTGGTGGCATTCCTAAATAAACCCAGGGCTGCCGCATCAGCTTTTTTGGCTGCTCACCACCCCCTCCCCACTGCCGCCACCAGCTTCTTCATATCAGAGGACCCCAAAACTACTTTATGCAGGGGGCCCCAAAAACTTGTGGGCTGGCCCCAAATGAACCCCTCACTTATGAATGTGTAGAAGGGTTGTGGCCCAGTGAACGATCATTGTACACAAAATTGGTTTTATTTGAAAATTGCTGTTAGTTTCTGAACCATCCTTGTACGTTACTAATTTGAACTAATATGTTCTTTATTTAATCTCCCTCAAACAAGATTAACCATATTCAGTTTTTCACCTTTTTTATTGCTTTTACAACAGTGGGTTATTAGATGCACTTCCATCTCATATCTTTCTTTTTTTCTTAAATTTAAGGTGAAGCAGAGAAAATACTTGACACGGATAGTACTCTCCTAGAATTGCCAAAAGGACCCATCACTTTTGAAGGCCTGGAAAAAGCCAGAAGGGCTCAGAGCAAGTTCTTTGTTGAGAAATAGGAGTATTTATAACAAATCAAGTATTCAAAGCACAAAATTGTTTGTTTGTTTTATAATCATGTTTGATTTAACGTGTCAGATTATTAAAAGTTTCAGAGAATGTAATCAGCTTTTATAAAATAAAACTACTTTAATGGCTATTTTCTAAGGCAATGGTTTTATCATGTTTTCTGTATTTTTGCAAATGTCTGTAATTAGTTGCTTTTTGTTCATCTCCTAACATTAAACATTGAATTCCTACTTTTCAGTACTAATGCAGTCAAATGTATACACTAATAAAAAGTACCTCTTTCACTCTACAGTAAGAGGTTAAGAAATGGGTATAAACAGTGTTCCCTATTTTCTGAATTTAGGTATCTACAAGTCATCTCTGTATTTAGACATCTGTATAAATAAGTACCCTGAGTTTTCAGTCTTGCTAACACCTAGAACTACAGCTGAAGCCTATGAGAACTTCATGTACTTGGTGGTTTTAATAATCACTTTTTTTTACTATTAAACTGTAGTCACACAAACTTGTCAGCCTGTTACTAAGGAAGGAAATATTAAATTCATGGCTGAGCAGCTAGAAAAGTTGTTTTCTACTAGTATAAGTTCTAATGGGTTTTTCAAACACTGTTGAACTGAATTCAGTTTGTTTTTTGTTGGGTTTTTTTAATGGGCCACATACTGCCATGAAGTACATTGAGAGCAACCATAAGGCTGATAAATACAGTTTTTAAATATATATTTGAAAATTTTTCACATAATCCTTATTTTGATGGTAAACTTTTTCTTTTTATATAATATGTAGTAAATCGCCTAAAATTATTTTTGCTTGGAATATAATCTAGTATTAATATCAAGCTTGAGAGAACAACTCACATTCTGAGTTGAGACCAAGCTTCTAGCTTTTAAAATATGATGATTTTGTGTATTACTCTAAGTTGTGTGGTATTATAAATTATAAACATTCTAAGTAGCTTCAAACCTTAGGTGAAGCCCAAAATTCGAAGTGGATATTTTAAAGATCACTGAAGTAATCAAAACAATCACTATGTTGAGAGACAAATTTAAGATCTGTAATCTTTTTTTAAATATTTTTTAAGTATTTTATATTTAAAGAATGCTGAGCTTGACACTTCACATCTGTTTAAAACTCAGTGAAGCATTCCTTAATGGCATTTGTTAATGTCCATATTGAATCAACCACTCTGGCCTGTTTATAAACTGGTTAGGGGGGGATCAGCAGGCGCTGGGGGAGTCCCTGTTCCCCCGAGCGCCGCAAGGAGTGACCAGGAACAATGGTCACAAGCTGGCGGAGGGAAGGTTTAAGTTGGACATCAGGAGACGCTACTTCACGGTCAGGGCGGCTAGAGTCTGGAACCAGCTTCCAAGTGAGGTGGTGCAGGCTCCCACCCTGGGGGTTTTTAAGAGGAGGTT